CACATCCACAGCCTCTCCCTCATCTACCAGGCGGGTCATGTGGTCATAGAAGGAGATCAGGTTGGTCAAGCAGGACTTGCCTTTCATGAACCCATGCTGGTTGGTCCTGATCCCCTGATTGTCCTGCACAGGCCGTGTACATGTCCTGCACATTACGTTCTGTGTCCCCTGTCACTCAATCACATTCAGTAAATGGCTGTCAATCTGTAGTGCTCCTTGAGTTACAGCTAGGATCACCTCAGGAACATCAGCAAAAATCTAGGTTTTGCTAGAGGGAGATTTCCTTCAACTCCCTCAGAGGCAATTCTGCAGAACCTATTTTACTCACAGAACTGTTCTTCCTCAGTTCATTTTCAAGCTCTTTGGAGTACACAAGTTGCAAGATTGGCACAGCAAGCCTTCCGGTACAAAGTCTTTTTTTCCAATTCCAGTTTCATTTTGCACACTCTAGTGATAAAACTTGGGTCACTCAAAGATTCACCAATACATGTAACTGAAAGCAATACTCTAGCTGCACCACACAGACAGCTTTCTCCCTCTGCCTGCAAATCCAGGCAGTGAAACCATAGTGACAGTTTTTGCTAATATCTCACATAGCAAAGCAGAAGTGGTTTTCCTTCTATCTCAGCCAGCTTCCACTATGCCAGAATCTATATCCAAGGCAGTTCTTTTCTCAAAAGCATCCTATGATTTTTGTGTCTGAAAACACGCCATGGTGCCTCCCTACCACCATCTTTCTCTCATCCATGAGATTCTCTCTTGACTTGGGTCTCAACTGGGTTTGCAATTCTTATTAATTCAGTATCATCACTAACTTCAAGGAAGCTCTGGGAAGGCTGGAGATGTTACTGCCAGGAGAGAAATTTTCCAGAGAACATTCAAATCCTTTTCTTAAAAGGCAAAAAAAAAAAAAAAAAAAAAATTTCAGCTGGCTGCGCTACATGCTTCATTTTCACTATCAGTCACAACTGACCATGGCAGGAAGGAGGGACTGGGAAAGTGGAAAAGAAGAGGTGGGGAGTTGCTGCCCTAGATGTAGGAAGTAAAAAGCTGACAGCGTAAGACTGCAGAGCTGGAGAAACATATGTGTAAGGAATAGTTACGTTCTGAAAGTGCTGGGGGTATATTATGCTGGTACACATAAAAAAATTCTTGGACCAGGAACATTCCTTCTGTCCTGGGAGACATTCAGTGCTGGCTGCTTCCTCAGCATTTTCTCTAACTTCTTCTCCCATGAGGCCATCAGAAAAAAGCCTGGAGAGGCACCTGGCAACTGTGCCGAGCCCTTGCCATACTGAGTTCAGTGGACACCTTGACCATTACTGTGACTCCCTAAATTTGAGTACATTAGCCAGCTCCCATTCCACAGGATAGCAAGGCTTTATAGTAATTGAATTGAACTGCTACACAGCAATTCAAGAAAGATTTCATTCATCATTGTACTAAATGCTTTTTGAGAAACTGGCTGAAAATCAGCAAACTGTCGTTGCCTAGGGATTTGTGTTCCCCAACACCACAAAAACCCATCCTCACTCAGTTTGCTATGCTGCTGTGAGAGCAAGAGTCTCTGAAGAACAAACTGGATTGCACCGAACAAAGGAAGGGATCCTACCTTTCTTTTGTGAGGGAAACATCTGGTTTAGCTAGAAGAATTCCATATCTGTGAAAAACAAACCAATACAGCAAGGTAAGAGCCACATCCTTGATGTGCTGAGCTGATTGATGCCACCGTCACAGCAAACAACAATAAATCACTGCCCTTCCCACTTAGCCTACCACAGCAAACAACCCCATCTCAGGCATGTGAACTTTAAAGAGGCTGTTTCACTCCTTGCCTACATCTGGTTACCAGGGTCACCTCCCTAACAATAAAGGAACATTCAGAGTTTTTAACGAACCTTTCAGCAAATTCCTCAAATGAGGGTCTCCAGGAGAAACCATCTCTTCGGATACGGATTGTCTCCAGCAGTCCGTTGTACCGGAGCTGAGGCAGCACCACAAAGAGCATCAGAGAAACAAACAGAAACAGGTCATTAGGAGACAAGTTTGTTCCTCTGCAGTCAGAAATGCTTTCAGTCAGTCCTAAACTTCTCTAGTTCAAAACGAAAAAGTTTCTTTCTGAAAATGTTTCCCTGGTTAAAGACTGAATTTACCACATCCTGTAACTCTGATGATTAGCCACTCTCAGTTAAAAGTTGGAAACCATAAAAAACAATGACTGAAATAACTTCACCTTCCACCCAAGGGGAATGCTTTGCCCCTGTCCTTTAAAGGATAGCCTATTACTTCCAAATCTGGACAAATAAGTATCCTGAGGCATGGATGAACTTCCCTCTTAATCCTGTCCTTTCTTATATACATTAAACAGGCCACAGAGCTTTCTGAACTTTTCTAATAATTTTCAGTATTATTTAAAGCACCTGTATCTCAGACTTGACACAATATTGAAAGACAGTCCTATCAGCTCATTTCAGCTCCTGCTAAAGCAGTCCGATCTTGGCTCCTATTCAGAGTTGCCCTGGTTGATGGGTGAGAAGAGTCTCCTCTGGGAAGCATCATTTTTTCTAAGTACTGTCTGTACCTGTTCCCATCCAGGAGATGCAAAGACGAATTCCAGTCCCTGACAAGTAGATCTCATTGCATTTATGAAAAAGAAATGGAAGAGAACTTAGACTGTGAAACCTGGACCTAGCAGTCTGTGTCACAAAAGCAACCAAGTACCCAGAACCTTTACATGCATAAAAAGCATACCCTCTCTTTCTCTTGCAAGGGGAGAGTCAGACCAGTCAGCTTCCAGCTATCTCCACAGCCTTTCGGTGGGGTCTGCCCTCCCCACTGAGACATGGCAGAAGTACCTGTAAAGGACATCGCTTTTCCTCACCTGCTGCAGCACCACCTGGCTGTCCACCACAGCTGGCTCCTTCCTTCTGTTGGGCTTTATACAGCGCACAAAGTGGGGGTTGGCAGAATACATTCTCTCCATGAGCACCATCAGGGAATGCTAGCGAGGGCAGAGAAAGATCAACAGTACAGCAAGCCAAAGCACTGCCAGAGCCAGTGTGCAATATCCTGCAGCGAGAACAGTTTTCCCACCCCACAGCAACTTCCCAGGCTCTGACAACAACCGGGTCACTCCCACCATGATCAGCTGTGCTTGACACCCAGAAAAAAAGGCTGTCTACATGCTGGATGCTTTAACTATGCTTAGCAGACTGGAAGCTCTCACAAAAATATCACACCACTCATCTCAAGGGATACTGCAGGGCAGCAATACTTTACCCGGAACTGAGCTCCAGCAGACTGTTTTCGTGTGCTGTTGAACTTGTCGTCTGCTCCTGGTGTGACCTGAAACCAGATCCAAACAAAATTGTCATCCCTGGAAGGAGTGCTTGGTTGCCATCCAAAGAGCTGTGCTGGAAGGTAGATGGCAAAAAGGAGAGAGAATAGATTTCTGGGGAGGGAAGACAAGTTAAACATATCAGCAGAAGCAAGCAGAAAACCCGGTAAAAAAACAAAGGAGAAATTGTTGCAAGCAGATTGCTGTCTGTTCTTATTTTCAACCAATTCCTGTCTGCTCTGATTTTCAGCCAGTTTCTCAAATAATAAATACCAGGTAGCTATGCCATCATTTATCAATCGTCATGTGGACCTTAAGTGCAATACCTTGGCTTTCACATGAGGCATCAGTGTCCCTGTCCTGGAGACAGTGGCTGGAAGAACAGAGACAACAGTTAATTTTGTACTTTTGCTCGCAATCAACCACGTCTAAACATTCAAACCTCACTCCACACACAAGTCTGCCTACAAATACTGAATCACACAGTGTTAGGTTTCACCATGTGGAAACACAAGGAAAGAGCTAAAGGAAGGGAGAAGAAAATGCAAATATATGAAGCATACAATGCAGGCAATATTATTTTCTGCCACTGAGAAGACAAGGCAATCAGGTTATTGAACAATTCTAAGTGATCTTCAAAAGAAATATCATCAATGAGCATCTAATAACGCAGAAAAAAAGTATGATCGCAAACGGGAAGCTCACCTACAGCACTCAACATGGGAGGTTATATAGAGTCAGACAGGCGATTTGAGCAGCCTGGTCTAGTGGAAGGTGTCCTTATCCAGGGCAGGGGGGTTGGAACTAGATGGTCTTTAAAGTCCCTTCCAACCAAACCATTCTACAATTTGATGATTCTATGATAGCTTAAAACTAATTCAGTGACAAGATGAAAAATTCAGGGAAGTTGAATTTACTGAAGGATCTAATGAGAGTCTTGCACATCCTAGATGCAATCATCTCATGTGAACTATAGAATCACAGGGGTCTGAGGTTGGAAGGGACTTCTGGAGGTCAGCTGGGCCAACCTCTTTGCTCAGCAGGGTCACCTAGAGCTGGCCGCTCAGGACTGGACAACCAAATCTGCACTGAGAACAGATCATCTCTGCTGTTTATGAACTTTCAAAAAGTTGGGACTAGACTAAGTATCTTCAGTAACAGTGTGGAAGAGATAATGAAGAAAGATACTCCTGAGCAGACGAGTTGAAAAACACAGTGGAGAATAAAAATGAAATTCATCAGTTACTTGTAAATCCCAGAAAGTGGCATGGACTGAACAGGACCAAAAGCCCCCAAATTTCTGCACCAGAAGCACTGTGTTCAGCCAGGCAAATTCCAAGGAAGCATCCACCTGATTTTCTTTAAATGTTTACTTTCATAGAAGCCTTGGAGACTGAGGGCTTATCAATAACTGGAAAAAGGGAGTGTAGTGGTGGGAGAGAAATAATGAACAACCTTGGCGTTTTTAACAAGTTGTACCTGAAAACCAAAATGTGTTTGAAAAGGATAATCTCTACACTCATTGCTTGTGGTTCTACAGCACTCTATTTTCAGCGTGAACAGCTGGAAGCTATGACCTTGTCCAGCTTCCTTTCCAGACAAGAACAGAGCATATGAAGGGCCAGTGGAGACAGTCCTGTACTGGCCCTGGAGAAGGTGGGCTATCTGATTTGACAGAAGACATCTGAACAGTGGATAATTCTCTGGAAGAGGATACAACCTGCCTTGCTTTCCAGGGAGGAACAAACAGCTCTGACAGCTCGGTATAAGCCAGCAGCCCCACTCCAAGCTGCAGCCTTTCCAGCGTCCCTGGGGTTGCCAGCTGTGAAACACATTCATAGCACATAAGCCTCATCCTCCACTTAACTCTTGCCAAGGTGGGCCTTGATTTATATGGGATGTCCTGTCATAGCAGAGGGACTTGCCTGTGAACAGCATGCTGAGCAAGGGGGTGACGCTGTTGATGAAGAGCCCACGGATGCTGGCTGGCAAGGTGTCTCTGTTCTTCTCTAGAAAGCCCTCAGCAGTATATTGTACCTAGGGGAAAGGGCAGCAAGTCACTAAGGCCAGCAGTGCTCACAGGCTTGCTGTGAAAGCCACCTCCACAGCTTGCCAGCAGGAACTGTTAAACTGCATGTGCACTGGCTTGCACCTGAATTCTGCAAATGCATCCATTTGCATCCATTCAGATGCATATCCTGAGGAACAAAACTCTTTGGAAGACACTGAGGCATTAGAACCACAGGAGTGCAGCACAACACCGAGACATCCACATTTTCTTGTTCTCTTTTCCTTGATTATGAAGTTTCATTTACTTTTGGTTTATGCTTCACTCTTTTCCTTGCTCTCTCCCTCTTCCCTTTGAACAGGCTTCCATCCTGTTATTATGCATCCCCTTGTTTCTCTTGTTCCCTTCCTTTCTCATCTCTAGCCTGGCACTCTTTTGTGTGTTAGGTCTTAATTTTTGTAATAAAGAATGTCACAGGTAATAACTTAGTCAACAATGGTGAGTTGAGATTACTAAATGGTGAGATGAGATTACTAAATTGCATATTACAATGACTTGAATTGTCATCTCTGCTCCTGCATCAAAAATTATCTCCAATCAATTCAACATATTTGGGCCAATACTTTCAAAACTGGTGGCAGTAAGGTTACATGCATAGTCCTAAACCCCAAGCTGCTTAGATACCATTTGAATGCATAGATAATTGCCTCCACTTTCAAAACACCTAGCTGCTCTCATTGTGTTCTTCAGTGTTTGCAATAAAATAGTGACTGCTATGCTCTGGAACCCAACAGGTAAAGGTAAAACCATTAGACTGTCCTTTGGTGCTGCACAGAGGATGCAGGGCTTTTATTTTATAAAGGACTATTTTAAGACTAGAGCTCCAATAGAATGATGATGAGCACAGCAGATTCTTCTCATACCCTATGATTCCCAGAGGTAGCCCCACTTTCCTCAGGGGTCTTCTCTTCCTATATGTTCTACAGAAATCCAATGAATGCTGGGGAGGCAAATCCCTGGGAACACATCACTTCTGTTATACCATCATTGGACCATACGCTCATTATCATCTAAGCCATATTTGTCAAGCAACACACTTCCCGTCTCCTACATATGTTACAACAGCATTCTTCCTGCAAACAGTACATACTTTGCCAGCATAGTGAATGATGCTGAAGCCCAGAACACGGCCTCGGCCTGGCTCGAAGTGTAAATTCCCCTTGAAGCTGCTGTTTAGTTTATCCACAAATGTCTTATCAGTTGCCTGCAAGAAAGCAGATTTCATAATCAAATGATAAGGCTGCAACAAAGACTGATCAGGGCACATGGAAGAAAAACAAAGTGCTGGAAGTGGCCTTGGCTATGTGACAGTTTCATAGACTCTCTCTCTGACTCTCCACAGGGATGCCAGTATCATTAGACTGTCCCTGATCTGGCTATCCTGTCTTATCAATCACACATGGGAACACTTCTGCTCATCCTGCTCTTCAAAGTCACACTCCAACATAAGAGCTCCGCAGCCCAAATATTTATTGCTACATTCCCCGACACTATTTTATCTGCACCCTATCTCATGCATACCTGAGGGAATGCACTCTGCTCATCCAGAAGAGAGAGGAGCCCAAGTGGCTTGGCCAGGAGCAAATTCTGCAGGGAAAGGAGACACATTACACATCTAAAGCAGTATAGGGCATCCACTCTCACGTACACCATCCTTTGAAGAGGTTCTTCCCAGGTGCATCTCCTCCCCATGATAGCAAGATTCCTCTCTTGGCTGGATGGACCAATTATCTTCTGCCAGTCCTCTCACTCACCAGAATAGGTTCATTATTGTTGAACGTGATAGTGTCCCAAGGCAGCTCTTCTTCCTTATAGGCAGCCTGCTCCAGCTGGAAAATGTGCTGAAACAGAGAAAAAAAAAAAGAGGTTGGAGCACCCCTGAATATCTTCCTTCTCACCCTGAACAGAGGACAGAGGCGTGGCTCTCACCTATGGCCACAGAGGCCCAAGATGAATCTGCTGTTCTGCATGCTCATCTGTAAGCCTGTCACTCACTGATCCTGGTGCATAAAGCAGAAACACTTTTCAGACTGTAAGTGTCCCTGCTCTGCCAACTTTGGCCATTGCTTGACCCTTCTACTCCCTCCGTCCCTGCACCAGTGACTCCCCTGCCACAGCACAGAAGGCTGCTGCTCTCTACCCTGCTTCACTAATCACCGCTTCTGTCCTTCCAGGCAATAGACCTGTTTTTACCCAAGTTCTCCTTCATATGCCAGGTAGATCAGTGCTCTGCTTTCTCCGCCACACAAGGCAAGATCAACCACAGCAGACTTACATGGTTGAAGAAATGCTGCAGTTGCTCATTGGCCAAGTTTATGCAAAGTTGTTCGAAATGATTCACTGTGAAGTTTTCAAACCCAAAAATATCCAAGATACCTAAAAAAAGGAAAATGAGCACATCACGGAGCCTGCAGACCACCCCTGCAGATAGCTGCGTACCCCAACACACAACTAATTTCCCATCACCCAGCTCCTGTGGCACAAGTAAACCCCAACCAAGTCACCAGCAGCACCTCTCCCATAACTCCCCTTGGAAGGAAAGCTAGTTTAGGAGAAGCCTCACTCCCACCGCCAGCTCCTCTGCAAAGCCAGAGTGTCCCAGAACTACAGCCTCACAGTTGCTTCAGACCAATCAACTGCTCAGAGTTGGCCAAGGCCCTACAGACTTCATGCTGCTGACTACTACCTCCAACATGATCATGTCTTTGATAATGGATCTCTGCATGCAATCTCTGCAAAACCTCATATTGTGCCTTTCCTTCGGTGTGGCTGAGGGATGCACGTTTGAAGACAGAACAGGAGCAAGACAGGGCAGAACTCACCTATCTCCCTCAGTTCCACCTCAGGATCCACATTTTCAGCCAGCAGCTCATTGATCTTGCAGACAATCCAGCCAAATACTCGGCCATATGCCACCTTTGCAATGGAGTCACGAGCATCTGCACAGAGACAACAACAGCAGCTTACTGAAGGGCTCCAAGGAGAGTAGGGAACACAGCACATAAGCTGGCTCCAAACATCCACCTCTAGCAACAATGTCTAGTGGTTTATGAAGCCATTTTAAAGATCAGATAAACATTAGATGTCTGTCTGATTGTCCCTGCCGTCTGTAAGCTTGAAATGAGCTCTTTCATTCCGAAATCGTCACAATTTTTCTGCAAGAGCAGATAGGGCATACTAGGGCACTTGTGAGACCATCTAGAATAGAAAATTTCCTTTCCAAAAATGCTCAGCCCCTTTTTGCAATATCCAGAGACTTGCTTTCCCCTCTGCAGGTCTGCTGAGTATGGGTCCCCTCACTGCTAAATCAAGCAAGAAGTTGCACATTGTACTTGGGAAACTGAATGGTTCTGTTCCTCCTAGCCCACAGTTGCCAAGTGTTTAAATGCTGTGGGCAAGAGGAGGATGCAACTGATGGAAAACTTGCTGACATTCTAAGGAGACCAAATCAACATGACTTACTGCGTGATCCACCTACTGATGGGTGAGAGAGATTGTCTAGAGAGATGCAAGAGAAGACATTTGCGAAACAGAACTAGCCAATTCCCCATTTTTGTTTTTTTTTTTCTTTAATTTAAGCAATAATCTGGAAGTCCTAGGATTTCATGCCTTTTTAAAAAAATGTTTTAAATCTTTTATTTTAACTGAACATTTTTGCACAGATTCTCTTGGATTATTTTCTTTTCTTACTGAAAGGGAAAATAACACCTGGTGCTTGCTACTTTAACATACTCCCCTTTCATCTCACTCCTTCCCTGATACTGTCCTACCTCATTGATTCTCTCAGTTTTTTCTCCATCTGCTACCTAGAGCTCTGCACACTGCCAGCACTCTGCAACAGGAGCCTTCCCCTTTTTTGTACAAATACCTACAGTTGCTTTCTAGGCTGGACTGAGGGAGAAAGCAAAGCTAATTCCTTGGTTTCCCCTTTAATCAATGTAGTCTCCTGGAGATGAAACAAAAGCAGCATTTGTGGTCCTACACGTCAGTAACAGACTAAACAGATAAACATTGGTATAGTTGCCTCCGTGCAAGAGGCATGAAGGGGCACAGACAGACATATTTGTTCCCAGCAAGTTGCACATGTGTGGGGATACTTCCATCAAATACAGGCCAGACTTTCTAGCCAGCACATCTGCAACTCATTATGTTTCTTACCTTCTGCCTGCTGCTGGGTGTGAAAACGCTGAATCTGCTCGCCTCGGGTCACCGACATTGTACAAATAAGGCATTTTAACAGTTCTTCTTCTTGGACTCCAAACTGACTCTGGGAGAGAGGAAATAGATGACAGTCAATAGCAAACCCTTATTCTACTTGTGGGGACTGTATCTCCTTGCATCTGTGCCATAACCAGTGTAACGGGGTCATGGTTCAGATTCAGGCCTTCGAGTTCTGCTGTAAGATAAGTATTACTGTTAACATCTCGCAGCACTGGTGTCAGATGCAGGCTCTGAGATCCGCGTTATCCCTGCAGTGACCAAGCTCACTCTCACGCTCCAGTGTTGCCACCTTTCACCTTCCTTGGCAGCCATGCCAGTCCCTGCTGAGTGTTTTAATGACTTATTGAACAGCACCACACAGAGGTGACTGTGCAACTGCTGAGACGTCTGAGCTTCAGCAGACATCAGAGTCACACGGACCCACAAGAGACAGGAAACAAAGGGAACTCAGACACAACTGAATCTCTCAGTGATCGCTTTAACGAGAATTCCCCTCCTGTGGGCAAAAAACAAGGAGCAGACTTTAAGAACTAAAACAAAAAGAAGTTGGCTGCTGAACAGATGTAGGTGGTTGTTTCAGGTATGGTGCAGGAGGGAAGCAGGCAAAGAGATGGGAGTGAAACCAAAAACCAGGAGTGCTGGGATTTCAAATAGGTCAAAATAAAAAGACATAGAAAGGGCAGAAATATATTACATTTTTCTGTTCTGTGTTGTTAACACAGCAGGATAATGTATCCATCCCATGTAATAAAAATGGGACAGTCCTGGGGAATATATACTTCTTGATCTGTGATCATCTCATACGAAATAGTAGAAAGTTAACTTCTGCATAACCAACAAAAATTGACAGCAGTTAAGGCGGCATCCTTGGACAAGATCTGTCAAAAACACAGAACTAGTGTTCAGATACTGCATGCCTGGATTTCTCCAAGGCATCATCACACTTAGTAACACAGAACATTCAATTTTAAAAAGTTTGTATTGTAAGACACGTGTGGTGTTGCCAAATGCAACACAGTGAACAAAAATGCAGTCATGGGGTCATACTGTGCATTTCTGGAAAAAACTCCTTGCTCTTCAGGAGCCTTCACACTCTGAGGCAGAAACATCCTCCTGCCTCTCTCTGGCAGGAGCAGGTCCTGCAGCCACACTGCCAGTGGGAACCAGTATCATATCCATAAGGTTTCTGTCAGCCCTTCTTGTGACTCACCGCTGCAGCCTTTAGCCATCCCCGGGAGGCTTCACTCACTTTTACAGACCCATTGCTCTCCTCAGGCTCAAAGGTCACATTGCCCAGAGACAACACACCAGCCAAGATAGCCTGCATGTCCACTTGCTCCTAAAACACAGAAGAGAGGTGACTGAAAACCTATCAGTATGTAAAATATACAACACAGAGGCCCCAGAAGTTGGAGAGGTGAGGGAAAGGCACAGGCAGCCTGTGGGAAAAGGCTCTATACAGAGTCTGACAGACGCAGGTGGTTTGGAAAATCCAGGGAGGAGAGGAACAGGAGCCTTAAAACAGCAGCCAGAAAGAAACCCTATGCCTGCAGGAAGCAGAGATGGAAATTAAATGACCCCAGAACTGACCTGTTCTTGGAAGCCCACCATGTCAAGGGCATTGCACACCTCTTGGTATTTGTGCTTCCAGCGCTGAGCTACATCCAGTGTACCAAATTGTCCATTTATGTACCTAAGAAAGTGTATATCCCATACAAAACCGTCACACAATCAGCACAGCAAGTCAGTCCCACCCCAAGGGAACAAAGCAGATCAGCAGTAGTGGAGACACAAAAGGGAAAGAAACTTTTCCAAGGTAATGCAGCAAAGAAGAGACTCCAGACCTCCCAGCTTCCATGATGACCCATAAGATCTCTTTATGTAGCTCCATGCAGATCCCACTACAGCTTCCATTCGTTTGTTTACCTGTACCAGGCTCCACAGATAGGGACAGGTCAGAGGCATAGGCTCCATTATGCTGCTTTCCCCTCCACCCCCCATCATGAAGACTAAACTAAGATCTGCCTTTGAAGTACCTGTAGAGTGAAGGATCCAGTAGCCCATACATCTCCTTTTCCTCTGAAGAGAGTCCAGCAAAAATGTAGTAGAAGATATGGAAATTCCTCTCTCCAGTACCTTGTTGCACTACCCGTGACTTCTCTAACAGGTACTCACTCAGCTTGGCACCTTGCACTGCACACAAGAAGGTGACAGGGTAAACTTTGCACCTGGGGATATGAAGCTCACTGAGCTGTCCCGCATCGCTTAACTGGGAACAGGACCATGGAATTGTCTAAAATAACCTTCATGTGTGCAACACCCTTTAGGTTGCCCAGCCCCTTGGAAATGGGCTTCTCGAGGCTTCCCATCATCTTAGAGATGTCTGCTCACCTCTTTTAGCAGCAACCAAGGCTTCTGGCACCACAGAGTATTACTGCTACTTCCCCTGCACTGTCACCCCCACATCCTTCCTGTAATCCCACACTGTCCAAACCCAGGTCTTATCCTACAGCTGTGGTTGCTGTAAGATTTTAATTAATTGCACAACCTTCCCACAGGGAGCCAGGTGTCAAAATTTCACCCTCTACGTGTTCCGGCTAGACTCAGTAGCTCAGTCCACTCCCTCCAGTGCCTAACCATCCCCCAAATGAGTGACTGCCCTTGCCTTTACCTGTATTCTTCTGGAAACGCAGCTGTATGTATTTTCCAAAGCGGCTGCTATTGTCATTCATCACAGTCTGGGCGTTGCCAAAAGCTTCAAGCAACGGATTCACCTAAAACAAGTGAGCAAGCAGAACAAGCATTCTTCATAGAATCATAGAATCATTATGG